TGAACTAGCCCAAGGCTAACAAAGAGAGAGGTGAATTGGATAACTTTAAAACCAAAGATAAAACTCAAACCAAAATCACCACAAAGAAAACCAAATGTGGAAGCAAATAATAAAAAAGAACACACCGAATTTATAGTGGTTCGGTCAAACCTTGACCTACGTCGACTCCTTTGAGGCACCCTCCAAGTATTGCACTAAAATAAGTGTCTCTGCTTTAGCCCCCACAGCTAGGCGAAGAAGCCCTTAAAAAATCACTTCCACCTTCCCTGGTGCGGCGGAGTCGCCGGGTCCTTTGACACCAAAGAGATCTTCTTCTTTGGTGAACTTACCTCGAGAGAAGCCTTGAATCCGATGGTACTAAGGTGTGAGTTCACCGCAGCAACCGTGTGGAATCCCCTCCACACTCCCTTGAGTTCCTCCCCCTCACAAGAATTTCTCCCTCTCAAACTCCACCCTTTCCTCTCTCCCTTTCAAGCTCTCTCTTCAAGTTTCCCCCACAAGAACGAAGCTACAATGGCTGTCAAAGACACATACAAAGTGCCTTGTCATAGTTTAAATAGAAGCTCTCAAAATGAGCTCATTAATTCAAGTTGCCGACATTATCGTTCAGGATGATAGGAATATCGTCCTGTACGATTAGTACAATTTAAGCCCAATCAGCCGGGATGATTTGAGACGATCATATATCGTCCTGGACGATAATATATCATCCTGGATGATAATATATCATCCTGGATGATCACTACAAATTGTGGAATATCGTCCTCGACATCGCCCTGAAAAATACCTATCCGATGACCAATCGTCCAGCATATTGTCCTGAACGATTTTGCGATCGTCCAGGATGATTTGACAGTGAAATCAAGTCATAATTTCTTTCCTTAAATTCCAGAGACATTTTGAAAAAATTGCCCTAGATCATCCTGGACGATATTTTATAGTCCTGGATGATCCATCGGGACGATGTCTAAAAATAAGTAATTCTTAAATAGATCTGGCGGTTGATTCTTTCTATTTTGAGCCTATCGTCCTAGCCGATACAAAATCGTCCAGGATGATGTTTTTGCATAATGATGTCTGCTTTAATGAGGAATCCCTAATTAGGATTTCTGCTTTTGAACTGATCGTCCCGGACGATGTTACCAAAAACAAAAATCTTTCGGGAGCAAGAGGAAATCTTCCAAGTTACAAAATATCAGGAGCCACACCAAATACAATAGACTCAAGAAAGAAAAAATACAAATTGACTCAGACCTAGTCTACCCAATCTTAAACTGATTCCAAATTGCAGTCCAATCGTGTGAACTTGAAATATCAGTACATAAGGCAGTCGTAGAGAAATAAGAATGTTTGCTATCATTAAAAATATAAACCATTAATCCGCAACAAAGGTCTCCTCAAAATATATCCTTTCTATTTGGTTGTACCCCTTAGCCACAAATCATGCCTTTTTCCTAACCACTACACCATAATCATTCACCTTATTCTTAAGGACCAACTTGGTTCCAGCTACACTTTACCCCTTAGGTCTTTCTACAAGCTCCTAAACATCATTCCTAACAAATTGGTTCAACTTCTTCTGCATGGCTAAGGTCCAAAACTCATTAGAAAGGGCTTGGATGATGATGGTGGGTTCAGGCATTAAGATAAAGGCAGAGTGGTTCACTTCCTTCCTAAGTTTATGCCTAGTCCTAACACCTTCAAAAGGGTCTCCTAAGATCAATTCTTTGGGGTGACTCAAAGAGTATCTCCAATCTCTAGGCAAGGTGTGTGTGGTTCAACCCTTTCCTCCAGATCTACATTTTCTACTCCTTGGGTAATCTCACCTACTACTTCAATGTTTTTGGGCTCTACCCTCTTCTCCAAATTTTCTACTCCAGTGGTAATCTCTCTAACATCATCATCTTCCTCAACTTTAGGCTTCCTAGGATCAG